ATATGTAAATGAGCATGCGCAGTACAGTGCAGCATAATTTCGCACAGCCAAACAAAATGGCTGCGTTCAGGAAACTTGTTACGTCAATCTCTTCGGAATGTGGCAATAATGTCGATCCTGCCGAAGAAACTTTGGTTTGGAGTAGCGACAAAGGTAATGCTGAGTCAAGTGTTGCTGACAATCCTGCAGAAAGCTACGAGGAAAGCGAAAAAGAAAGTGACTCTGAAAGTGGCGTTGGGGCGCCTAGAAAAAGGCGCCGACTAGGCCTAAAAACAGTTGTTTCATGCAGTGAAGAAGATCTCGAGAAAGATTCAAACAAACCAGTTTCAAGAAAACAACAAGAAACACTACAGCAAACAACTCTCCCAGTGAAAAAGGCTAAGGGCAAATCAGGACCTAAGGCTATTTGGTCTACAGAGCTATTGAATGATTTGGTGGACATTGTTGCAAACAATGACAGCTACAAAAGGAAACTGATATTTACCAATATGCCCAAAGCCAGCAATGCTGAGGTTTACCGTAATATTGTCAAAGATATGAATAGCAGATGTCAAGAGCGAGGGAAAACATTCACACTGAGTCTTTGTCAAACACGAAACAAATTCAAAAAACTTATGAGCATTTGCAAGTCTGCACTTTTGACAATGAAGACTGCTTCTGGAATTAAACGTTTTCAGGATGACAAGCAATTTGGCTCATGGTTTCATGTCCTTACCCAAATTATGAAATCAAGACCGTCATGCCAGCCAGATCAAGGTATAGAGCCAGGCTCCTATTCAACAAATCTTTCTGACCAAACAGGATTAGCTTATGATGATATTATAAATACAGCTTCACCATCTCCATCTACCTCGTCAGATGGTAGCAACAGCCTTGATTCCTCTACCCCCAAGCCAGGCAAGATTTATGTACCAATAAAATCAAAGAAAGTATCTAAAAAATCTGCTAGCAATGAAGGAGTTATTAATGAGATACTAACACAAATAAAGACTGTTATAGACTATGAGCAGAATTCAATTGCCGAGCTAACAAGTTTTTTCAAAAAAGAAAATGAACGCGCCAGACAACATGAGCTGGAGCTATTTAAAGTGATGTTTCAGCAAGCTCCTGCCAATAATTATCAAAACCATTCAGCAATGCCAAGCACACAAGATTTAGAGCCAGAATTTCAAAGAATGCAGAATCTGCATTCAAATACAAACATGGGAAATCACCATCAAGCCTTTGTCACAAGTTTACCAAATCAATCATTGTTTACACCTTGGCTTGCACCAGCTGGATCTGAAAACAACTTTTCCCAAGATAGAGACAGTAATAGAAGTTTCTTACAGTTGTGACCTATAGCTTATGATGTTCATTAACTGACAAATAAAAAAAGTTACGTGCCTTTTACTGGTAAACTGATATTATATTCTGTTATGTTTGATAGGAGAGGATAGGGCTTGGTGTCACATGGACAGGTTAGCATAAACTGGATTTGAACCAGATCTGGTTTTGGTTTTGATCACCTTGAGAACCAACTTTTCTAATATTTACTTAATTTGTATATGTCATATTTTCATGTTTTTTTTAACATTGCAGTTTCATTTGACAGCCATATTTTGCAACGCCTATGAACTTAATTGCCGATTTGACAGTTTGAATGTTATTTTGTTGAAACTGCTGTTTCAAATTTCTCCAAATCATTTTGAGTAAACTTATGTATGCGACCATGCTGGCATAGGATATCTTTTATATATAGATAGATATATATATATATATACAGATAATAATAGATATATAGGCCGAAATGGCCCTTAATTTACTACAACAAAACAAAACGTCAAAAATTTTAATGGTCAATTAGAATTGCTACATCTAAAGTATTACTACAAATGGCTACAAAAATTATAACAGCTTAAATATACAATATGCCCTACTCACCCCTACTTATATTCCTGTTCAAATTCTAATTAGTGATGTCTATTTTTTCACGCCAAAATTTATCCTTTAATGTTTCCCTTATCTTGGTCGCATTCCTGTTATTATCTGTAACAGTCCTGCAATTTCTCATCAAGAAAAGTTTACGAACTTCTGATTGATCCCTTCTTTTGTTGGAGGATGGATCCTTGGTGAGATCCCACTGCCTTGGTGCAACATCTTGACAGGGAATACATAAATTATGCAAGACAACACATGCCAAAGTAAAAACTTTAACATTCTCTGGCCTGCTTTCGCATTTTCTAAGGAGAATCCGCCATCTTCCCTTTAACTGCCCAAATGCACCCTCAGTGACCATGCGAGCACGGCTAAGGCGGTAGTTGAAGTACCTTTGCTGCGGTGTTAAATATGCATTGCTGTATGGCTTCATTAGCCAAGTATGGAAGGGGAATGCACCATCACCAAGAAGTAATGGTGCAATCTCTGATCCATCTACATTCTGCGCGATGTGTGGTATGATTTGGCTTGATGCCAGTGAACTGTACAATTTGGTTGACTTTAGGATCACTGCATCATGGGAATTTCCAGGGAACCCTGCACTCACCCAAATAAATCGATATTTTGAATCGACAAGGGCCATAATTACTGTTGAATAAAAATTTTTAAAGTTGTGAAATTCTTTGCAGGCTTCAGCACCTCCATGTGGGCACTTGATGGGTATATGAGACCCATCAAAAGCACCAAAGCAATAAGGAAACTGCCATTCACTTTCCATTTCTTCCATACAATTTCTAAAATCTTGAGTTGTGCGTGGGAAAAGGCATGTAACAGTCTCATCCCAGAGGTTGTTCACAATAGCTGCTGAAACTTCGTTGACAATCTGACAAACTGTTGCCACAGCAAAACCAGTCAGCTCTGATATGGTGTAGAGGTAGTCACCCCTTCCTAACCTATACAAACACACAGCAAGGCGTATCTCTGCAGGTATAGGTTTTTCAGTCAATGATTTCTTTTTGATGTCATGCTTAACTCGTTCAAGAATGAATGAGAATGTTTCTCTCGATACCCTAAAGGTTTTCTTAAATCTTGCATTTGAATAATGGTCCTTTACATTATTCCACCAGCCAGTATTCCTAGGTAGGCGTCTGCACGTGCGTTGCCTTCTTCTTGCCTCTCTTCTAGGTTGCACAACGACTTTGTCATATAGCAGCAATAAAAGTATAAGCAAATAAGCTTTTAACACTATTCTTCTTCGAAGAAAAGAGATTATAACTGATTGTTGAAGTGCTCTTCTCCTTGAACGTTCACGCAAAAGTCGACCAAAAACGGCCAATCTTTTTTTGTTGTCAGCATTGACCAGCGCCATTTTAAAATACTGTAGGCCTAGTCCAACTGAAAAGGACGCATACGCGAAATGGTAGTATTGGGCAATTGGTTCATCTTGAGTCTATCGCATAAAACCAAACATAAATTTTGACGCGCCAACGATGATCCAATTCAATAATAGGTTCGTCCCATCATCAGTTCATCATATAAATTTACCCTAAGTAAGTGATTTCAAATGTTTTTGATGATATTATATATGGTGAGTTTTTCTTCCTTGAAAAATGGTGATATACGCAATTTATATACCCTTTATTCAGCTGATCCTCTTTGTTCTTGACAATTTGTGATTCTGTGCCAAGACTTGCCATTAAATCATCATTAAGAAGACATTTCAAATCTTTGCTGCTGTTTTTCCATCACAAAAGTCATGTGGGAAAAAAGAAATGCCAGCACAACAAAAGCTTGATCAGTGTTTTTCAAAATTTTCCAGAGATCTCTTTTCTTGTTCACTCAATCAGTAAAATGCCAAATTGTCAATGAAATCCAGAACTGGTTATTATTTCTTTCCTTAGATTTCTCAACCTTTGAGCCACAATATTTTTATTTAATTTATACTGTTTGAAAAATGTGTTGTTAGTTTCCTAATCCTAAAACTTAATATGAGGAAAAATACATCTTTAAGTGACTGATTTGACGAATGGCTACCTAAAAGTAAAGACATCCAACCAGTCAAAGCAAAGGATTTGAAATTAGGGAGAAATGGTTTCCTGAAGAGAAGTAAGAAGCAGGTCGAGCTGAATTGTTCACCTAAAAAACAATTCAACCCAAATATTTACAGTGCTCACAAGATAGCCATTTTTAAGGTTGCAAATTTATTGAGTGGTGTCTGTGATGAATCTGAATGCATTCTGTTTACAGCCCTTCCAAGAACAGAGCAGACAAGGCCTTCAGATTTTCATTCACTTAAAGTGTGTTCACTAGCAGATTACCTCTCCATGTCATGAAACCCATCTGAATATATGGTTTATGTCAGTAACATTAAAGAAGATGATATCCATCAAATTGAGATGATGACAAGGTATAGGAAGCATGTCATTACAGCCTCTAAGGCTCATCAGGTCAAAACACGAATTGAAACTGCAAAAGAGAATGTATTTGAAGTGACAAATTTTGCTTCAATTTGCTCAAAAGTGTCATCAGGAACATCAAAGCCCAAAGCAGACTTTCCAGCCCTTAAGTATGGGCATGCGACGGAGGCCGAAGCTGTTGATTGCTTTTTAAATATGTACTGCAAGACTCACCAAAATGTCAAGTTGTTGGAGTGTGGCTTGTTTTTGTCTAAAGAACTGCGTTTCACAGGTGCTAGCCCTGATAGAATTCTAAGCTGTGACTGTTGTGGAAAGGTTTGCTTGGAAGTAAAGTGCCCTGTCTCCATTTCACATACATCACCACAAGACCCAGATGTGAAACTTCCATATTTGATAAATAGGGGGCAATCACTAGAACTGAACCGTAACCATATGCATTATACACAATGCCAGGTTCAGATGGCAGTGACAGGCCTTTCTCAAAACTACTTCTTTGTTTGGACAACTCATGGATTTTTCATGGAAAAGTTGGACTTTAATCAAAGCTATTGGGACAGCCTTAAAGGAAAACTTAAAACATTTTTTGAAGATGTTTATGTGCCCTCAAAGTTATTGATGTAATTATTTTGTTTTAGCATTGATAAATTTGGATTCTTTTTTATAATAAACCTAAATTTCAGGTTAAATTTAATCCCAATGTGATAATGAACTGTGTTTAATTACTATATTCTGGTTTATAATCATTACCAAACCCTAAGGAGAATATAAAGGAAACCTTCTATTTCGAGTAAGGCATAAAATACCTTTACAGGACTATATCAAGTTGCCATTTAACATACTGTAAACCTTGATTTGGCCCACTTCCTAAAAGCCTTTGGTTTCAAGTAAGCCCCTTTGCTAGGACTAGAAAATTGGTAATAGACTTCACCCTTCAAAAAGTTCCCACCAATACGTGAACTGTATTTGATAAGTTTCATAGATAATTTATTTAAGTCCCAAACTCCTCAAACAAGTCCTCATCAAAAAAAGGTTTTCTCTAGTTGGTCCTTAAAGGTCATATGAACCGAAAAACGATTTTCACATATTTGGTAGAACTTTTTTTGCTTGTCAAGACGCCGTTTCCCGTTTCTTTCTACGACTTGAACTTGTCTAGATATGGCGCTCGAAAGCCCGAAAAAGTGACCTTCAAAAGCGATGCCACTCGAATGCGGTCAGATCGACGCTGTGACGTAATAGGTTTGACACGTCCCTTCGATAGCCATTGGAACCTTTGTGAGTGATGTTGATGAAAAAATCTTGCAAAACAAGATAAAAGCACGAAATTTTTTCAGAGTTTGACACGCTGAAAAAGATAGGATGCATATCTTATCTGGCAAATGCCCCCTTGTGCTATTTTTCGATTGGGGTACTCGATTCCAGGCCTTTGAAGGGGTTTTCCATAAATCAGTTGAAGATCGCGATAAAAGCATGAAACTCTGTGAAAATACAGAGTTTGATAAGCGGAAAAAGATAGTATGCAGACCCAAGGTGGCAAATTACCCCTTGTGCTATTTTTAGACTGGGGTACTCGATTCCAGGCTTTTGAGGATTTTTTCCCAAAAATCAGTTTCAAAACACAATCAAAGCAAGAATCGTGCTGCAAGTACATGACTTGATTGCTGAAGATGGGATACTGCCTTCAACTGTCAAGTACCCCTTGAGCTATTTTTAGACGAGGGTACTTGTTCCCAGGCCTTTGAGGATTTTTTTTTCAAAAATCAGTTGCAAAACACAAGGAAGTCCAAGGAATTTGAAGGGTTTTCCCATAGATCACTCATGGAACTTTGCAAAAGTACGTAAAACAAGATTGTTCTAGAAAACTATATGCTCATTGTACAGCAAAATTATTTTGTAAGGATAATCAAATTGTAGTTATGACATGGTAATTTGCATTGAGAAAATTTAAAAAAGGCTTTAGGAATATAAATCTAAAGTACATAGAAAAAATTCTATGTATTTCAAGTTCATATCAAATACATTTTAGACAGGATTCCAAGCATTGAGCTGGGCCCGGCCTTGCTTTCAGCGGCCCTGGGAAATGCTTGATGTTCGTTCAGTTCCTTGTGACAACACTTCCTGATTCAACAGCAAGTGTTGATTTTATTCCACAAGTGAGAGCAGTTCGTACTGACTTTGAGTCTTGTCCTTGAAATATGAGCCGGCAAGGAGGAGAACTTCTTTGTGGACAAGATCCTTGAAGAGGTTTTATTCTGTTACACCGTTATTCATGCCTGTTTGATAAACCATCAGATGTGAGCGTGTCCTACGTCTCGTTTATTTCTCGGCTGCAGCAGTGTACTTCCTTGTCTGATAAGCGATTATGTTGAGCACTTTGTACACGAGCACCTGTGATAGAAAAATATATTCACGATTCAGTCTTTCCCTTTTCCCACCAATTTAATGAAATAGAGTTCGCCAATATAGTGAAACTTACACACAGCAAGGTCTGTTTATCAGGCTAGTATCCCGTTTGCTTTAGGCCAGTAGGCCAGGCTCGTGTCTGTGAAAGTTTCTGCCTTTAAATACTATAAATTGTAAAGATAATAAAAAAATAAAGAATTTAGTTTACCTTTGATTCAGGGCAATATGTCTCTCAAACCAAACTCCAAGCTGTGTTGATCAAATGCAATCTTCATTCCCAGGACACAGAAGAGAAAAAGTATTCTGTGCCCAGGATGGTCCTAGTCCTTTCCCTCACATCGTTCGCTCGACGAGGATTGATGATTCTTCTTTGGAGGATACCGGTGTTTTGTGCTAGTAAAGCTAGAAAGGCCACCAAATTCAGCCAATGCTCCCTAACTCATTTAATTCATTCGAAGACTGATCCAAATCAACATTACCATACGTCTCCTCTGCAGTTGCTTAATGTTTATGTTTACTACGGCTTCAAGGCCAAGAACATGTCAAACCTATTACGTCACTTCTGTCTTCTCGTCCCAGACCCCGGTATCACTTTTGGTCTCCAAAATTGAGTTTTCAAGTTGAAATTTTGGTGTCTTACAGGTATCTTTCAAAAATTTAACCAAGATTTTCGCAATCAGCGCCATCCAATTGCGTAAAATGGCCAATAAAAAATTTCGTTTCATATGACCTTTAAGTAGTTGGCAAAATATATGTCAAAAGCATTACTGTAATGAATTTAAAAACATTCTGCATTTTCAATTTTTGTTAAGCAAAATACAGCTTCTAATTTGTAGCATACAGTTATCTTCAGCACACATGAAAAAGCAATGTTTTCCAAAGGTAAAAGGATATTAAACAAAAAACAGTAGTTGTACTGAGTTTTTAATCTCTTGGCTTAATAAGCATGACTGAAGATTACATAATGGAGCAGAAGTACGCACAATGTCATCTGCAAGAGGTATCATGTTAATAGCAACAATGTTCTTCAAAATTTTGAATCCCTTGATTCTGTTGATTGCTTGCTCAACGCTCAACGATCCTGAGGTTTGCTACCTCCTTTGTCTTTTTACATTTATCTTTTGTCATTTCTGATTTTGTACGGGCACTTGTAGGCACTGTGAGATTGCAATAATAGTGGAGCAAATCTTGTTGAATTTGAAAACCACGGTCAGCCATAATTTCATCTCCATATTCCAAGAAGCTATAAAAGTTACTGTCCCTACAAATAAATCTATCAGATGCTCTTCCCCCATAGCATTTTGAGATGTACATGATGTATCCACTTGGTGAAATACCTATAAGGAATTTTAGAGTATTATTCTGACCATGTCCTGGCTTGTGCATCTAAAGACTGTGGCCTTTCTATGAAGATTTCGAAGCAGTCAGTGATGCACCAAACTTTTGGATACCTTCCTTTAGTGAAAACACTGCGTAAATTTGCTTTTATTGTATGCTTTGGGAGCCACAATATTAAGGCATCCCCTAAAAGAATAGCAAGAAGTTTTACCCAAGTTGAAAATATGTTTGAGCATGTCCCTACTGAAATGGAAAATCTATCAGCAAGGTCCTCATACATCAGGCCAAGTCTGAGGCGCATGAGTGTTAGGAGGAATTGATCTTTCCCACAAACTTTGTGCTGGCGATTTGTGCCAATCCTTTTTAATGAAGAATCAAAGATCCTCTTTTTTCTTCTCCAGTAAAAGATATTTGGCAAACAAGGCTTTATCAAAGTGAATATGGCACAAAATATCGTGATACTCTCAATTCCTGTGTAGAACTTCATCTTTAAATCACTTTTAATGCTTTTCCAAGTGAAAGGTCTTTTTTATTTAACCTGCCTTGCTTAGCCATACTTTTATGATGCTCTAGGTCAGACCTCAAAGTATCTCTCTCTTTTGTCAGTTCATCGAGTTGGGCAACCAGCGAAGATATTTTCTGTTCTTTTTCATCACATTGTTCACAGCCGACCCCCACAACTTCTTGTGTGGCAGCAACCTCAGGTTCATGATTTTGGCGTTTCAGAACCCTCCTCATCTTCTTTGTAGGCCTTTTATACCACAGGCCTAGTGTTGGATCTGGGTTTTCCAAGGTTCAGTTCAGTTCAGTTTTAATTTTAAAATTCCACTACATACAAAAATCTTTCTAAAATACATACAATTAACTAGAATAACAAATTAAAACAGATGACAAAAAATGACAAATTTTACAATAAGAGGACATAGAATTTCGTATGGAGAGGAATTTCTTAAGGAGGAGCTCTCTCAGTAGGTAGACTGATCGAGGAGAGAGCAAGGTAGGAAGCCCGTCAACGAAATGCTTTGAGCATACTAGGTCACTCTCTCCAGGAGTCCAGCGAGTTTTCTTTGCTGTCTGCCTGTTGATTTTGCGTATCCACACAGCTCGTCTCTCCGAATTCAACCGTGTACTTGGAAATCTGTGCAGTGTAAAAGGGTGAGGGCAGTAGCAATCGGCGTGAATTTGTCCAACATGTATTGCACAGTGTTCCTTCTTCTTTTTTTCAGTTTGTAGTTGCTGTTAGTGCAATTAACTACGGCACAGTTTCCATTCACCATCGCTTCTGAGTAAATTTATGTGCTAAATGACAGCAAAAGGCAGACAAAAACGCCAGCAACTGAGGTAACTTCCGTCAATTAGCTTTTAAAAAAGCTTCTTTTGTGATGAAATCTCAATGAATCGATTTAATTCAAGCAAACTAAGCAAACTTTGCTCTTTCGCAAACATAATTCCAAGGAATAACAACACAACACGCAAGGTCTTTAACCACAAATCTCGACCCAGTTCCCTTCGACGCGATTAGTTGAAAAGGTGTATTGTGAATGTGCCCTCGTACCGATCGATTTCAGCAAGACTTGCAACTGTAAAGAAATAATATCGCTTTATGGCCCTGCCCTGAATGATATGTCTGCTTTGCAAGAAGAAAGTTTTTGTTTTGGAAAAATGTTACCAAATGTCATCCATGTTTTATAATCGATCCAAGGGATCTCCATGCAAAAATTTTTCCCAACTGAGAGTGAACACGTTGTATTTCTCTTTATTCGAAAATATTCTTGTCTAAATAACCAGATTGTTAAAAATTACCATGTTTTATTGGCCGAGTCCAAGTCACCGGACTTTGCTGTTCTCCCTATATTTGATATCAGTTGATTTGCGTAAGGCTTGTAGCGCGAAGGTTTCTCATTTTAACAAAAAAATATAACGGATAAAAGCGCAGAATTTTTGCATTATTTTAATGTTCTGGTTTATTTTGGAAGGGTTTCTAGAAAAACTATTATCGCAAAGCTAAAAAGTCGTTTTTGCCAGCCTAAATTTGTTTTTGTCTGAAAGCGCAATCGATCTTAGAACTTTCCGGGTACTTTCGTGAGGGGAGTGTACTGAATGAAGGTTGTTGCACGAGTTTTTATTAGTAATTTCTCGCTGCTTTTACACTTACCACAAGCAATACCTTAAGAAAATAGAAAACAGCAAATTTAACAACGTAGATTGAACATTTGATATGCTTGATTTCGGCTTATGGACATCCTGTCAGACGTCCTGAAAAATCTACATGAACAGCTTGGCGTGTCCCACTAACCATATCAGTCAGAAAATATTTTAATTAAAGCCAGCCTTGTATTTTAAACTTGTTATAAAGCTTCTGAAGGTATCAACACAGTAGTGTATGCCATGGAGCCGAGCGTTCCCAGTTACAGGTTCCAACTGAGCAGAGGGAAGAATCTACCACGAGCGAATAACTACTTGACCAAGATACTAAGCAAAAAAACTGCTTAAAAACTGGTGTGTTACCGTATTTCCAGGTATGTATAAGCTAAAGTCTATTCAACACTAATAACTATTGTCCCAATAACTCTGCTCCTCCAGATATAGTTTCCTCCAATTATACAAGATATTGAACACCATTTCATCACATTCTTTATATTAAAAGGAGATACATCGGCAACTCATGGGATTCCTCGAAGTTAATAAGTTTCTATCAAAAATTCAATTTGGATTTAGACCTAAGTTGTCCACGGAGTTAGCAGCAAATCTCTTATTTGATGAAATTCGGCAACATGTAGATGAAAGGAAAGTAGTTGGTGAAACGTTCATTGACTTGAGTAAGGCATTTGATACCATCAGTCATTCGAACCTGCTTCAGAAATTACCTCAGTACGGAATCTGTGATGAAGAACTTGGATGGTTTACAGATTATCTTTTTCATCGATCAATGGCTGTTAGCTATGGTGTCTGTTTGTCTAACAAGCAAGACATTCAAGCAGGAGTGCCGCAAGGATCAATTCTGGGTCCCCTCCTTTTCATTATATTTTTCAATGACATAACCAATGTGATAAAAAGTGCAAAAATTATGTAGTATGCTGATGATACAGTGATATATGTAGCTCATAAAGATGTAGCAGTTATTAATTCTGAGCTCACCAAAGATATGGATGCTATTGCCAAGTGGCTGGACGAAAATGCGCTGATAATAAATCTTAAAAAAGGAAAAACTGAGTCGCTTCTATTCTGAACATCACAGAGGATTGCAAAGCAAAATGAGACACTCACTGTCATGTACCGAAGTGCAAATGTATTGAATACAAGCCATTACAAATATCTTGGCATTGAAATCGACAGCTTTTTGAATCTCAATAGCCATTTCGACAAATGTTTTAAATGCGCATCAAGCAGGCTGATGCTGCTGGGAAAGCTTAGAGATTATCTTGATCTCACTGCTGCGGAGACGATTTATCATTCACTGATTCTGCCTACTTTTACCTACTCTGGAATACTACTGCTGAAGCTAACTGACACCCAATTAATAAGACTAGCTTCGTTAAATTAAGAACAATACAAGGAAATTTGAAAACTAGCGGAAGAATTCAGTCAGTTGTCAGTGCAAATAAGATCCGTGCATGTAAGGGGATGCGCAAGTGTATTGACAAGGACATTTTTGACAAGTTTCAAGGCTACTTTGACCCCAATTTGAGAACAAGAAACAATTAATGTCTCGTCAAGCTTCCAAAAATTAAAACTGAATATGCACGCAAATCGTTTCGTTTCATGGCAGCAAAAATTTACAATGAACTGCCTATCAACATACGGAAAACTGAATCATTCAATGCCTATGAACAGCATCTTAAGCAAAATTTTACCTATGCTTCTTTTTTTAGATATGATTTAGACTCCTTATTTTAAATATGTAACATATGGTATTAATACAATTGCTGTAAATTTTTCATTTTTTTATATAATATCTTTTTACGTTAATCAGGACACACATTGATAACAGCAGTAACATTGAAGTGGTAATCCTGTATAAAGATTCATGTTATTATTATATTATTATTATTATTCTTTACTTTGGGAGAAGTTTCTCAATCCCAGCCATATGTCACTTTTTATACACCCAAGCGAACCAAAACAAAGAACAACCAGCTGCACTGAGAATCCATTTCTCTCTAGATAATCAGATAGCTCCTTATATCTTCTAACTTTCTCCTGATAAGCATTTTCCAAATATAAATCATAGCAAACAGTTATTTCAACTATTGTGCACTGCCTCTGTATACCATTGAGAATGGTATATCAGTATATCAGTGCACTAGAGGCAGTGTTATGTCTGGTTTACGATGAACAATCTGCTTAATCCTTTCTTTTAAATTCTGGAAATATGGTTTCTGCTATCAAGTTTGATGAAATTTTTGCCCGTGGCTTATTTTCCTTTATAAATTCTGCAATCTTATTCACAATTCGATCATGGTGACGTGAATAGAAATTCTTAAACTTGTTGCAAACGTTTAATATGTGAGCTAGGGACTCTGTATGTCTGTGACAGAATGGGCATTCTGGACTGTGATCTCTATTCCACAGGTGAAGAGTAAAGTTGGTCGGAAGAATACTAAGCATTGTTTTGATTGCAAAAATCACAAGAGCATCATCAACTTTCCAATTATAATAGGTCGAGTGTGGCGGTTTTTATATGAATATTTCCATGATTGAGATAACATCCTTGCAAAGTTAATTCCTTTGAAGCCTCGATATCTCTTTCAACACAGAGCTGATATAGCTTCTTTTGGAGCTCACACTGATTGTCACTCGATGCTCATTTAATGTGAGCCATCGCCTTGTCATTCACATACTTAATATCAACGTTCAAGCTTCTTGCATATCTTACCATATCTGGCCAGTCGGACTGACAAATGAGATTTGAGTTACAGGCCAAGAAACCATCATGAGTTAATGCATATCCTCTCTTTTCATGTCTAGCTCAAGAGATGACCTCGCAATATGCTTAATGCACCACATCATGATTTAGCATTGTAATAAGAAAGGCTAAATGTGTCGATCTATAGACATCAGAAATCCGCTTAATGCCAATACCACCATTTCCTTAGGGGAGGAATATCGCAATTCGTGTTGTGGACTTGTAGAGCAAAAATAGTTCTTGAACTGCGATGGTTATTATATTGTTTAGCTGGTCCAACTGCTTCACACTCAGTCTAGAATTATAGAGATAGTGTAATATTTTTCCAAGAGCAAGATGTTCATAGCACTTCCCTTCAGAGCTAAAGGGTAAATCGGAAGCTTTGATTTTAGTTACCAGATCTTTATACGTGTCTATTTGTCTGTTATTTGTTTTGCATCTTCGCTGTCTCTGCATCTGCATCGTGTTTTGCATTTGTTTTACATGATCGCTATCTTTGCATAAGATTTTCTCTTAAGCTTTATGTGGTAGATTATTGCCGTAAATTGACGTCTTTAAGGTGTAAACTAATTCTTGGCGATCATGTTTGCACAAGAATGCAGGTTGCCAAAAAGCCACTTCCGTTGCAATTCACAGCAATAATCTACCACATAAAGCTTAAGAGAAAATCATATAAGAAATTGGCAAGAGAAAAATGTCCCGTGATGTTGACTATAATAATTTATCTACGTTATAATTATAATTCATAATTCATGATGCTTAATAATTCACTAGTTAAAGTGGGTAGCCTATAATAATTTATTTAAAAAGAGAAAAATTCTTTACATTAGGGCCTACTGTAAAAGTAAAGTAAAAATTAAATTCAAAAGCTAAAAGTAAAAAAAGTACATAAAAGCATTAAAAATTCGTTTTTATGTAGATCGACTCCAAAACTGCTAGATGTTTTGGACTCCATTGGTAATTTTTCTTCAGGCTCGCGGCACTGACTGGTCAACTATACTGATCTTGTGTTTGCGTTCTTCTGATTGGCCTATTTCAATCCACAACTGGGTATATATTTTCAATGTTCTTTCAGAACCTTATTCTAACGTTTTATGCTCTGAGGAGTGTCAGTCAAAAAAGCTTTTAGTATGTCGTAAAATGTTTGCTTTTTTCAAAGCCAACATCAAAATACTTCCTTGCATAGGATAATACCTTTTTGAATGAAGTTCATATTAGAGTATGGGTAGAGCATCGATTTATATTGAATTATATGATAGAAAAGATGCAAATGTGAACACTGTAAATGGAAATGGTGAAACACCATTATTGCTTGCAACGATATTAAGTAAAACGAGAGTAATGCATTTTTTATTGCTGTATTGAGCTGATTTAAAGGTGCAAAATTATCAATGTGGTATGGCATTACATATTCCAGTGCATTCATTATATGTCAAAGCTATTGCGCTTTTATATGCTTTTAGATCTAATTTTAGCGAAAGAAATATATTAAATACACCTCTTCAAGAATTTACTATGATTGAATTTCTTAAAAAATTGAAAGACTGATATTATTAAGGTAAACTGTTATTGCTGTAAACTAGTTGTAAAAAAGTATAAATAGGATAAGGCTCGAATCTTGATTGGCTGAATCACGTGACTTCTCTCGCCACTGAGCCAATCACAGCTCTGGAAAGTGTAAACAAACTTAGGCCAAAGCCGAAAATTGGGAATTTTTACCACCGTCCATTAAAAAATAACGTGTAAAACTTGCTAAAATAGACATCAAATTTTTTTAACTACAACCCTACACAGATAAATTTTCCTCAAATCTACTGTGGAACCATAGTTAATAGAGGAGAACTCTGGTTATGAACCGCGGCGCACTTCAAAAGAAGAACTCTTTGTTTCGAGTCACGTGATTTACTTCGAGGCACGTGACAATGACCGTGCACAAGTCTTTGCGTTGAATGTTAGAGCGATTAGGCATGGTAGGACCTTTGGTGAAAGTTTGGATGTCCTTTTGATAAATAGATCGCCCCGTCTTATGTTTACGTCAATATGCCAGGAGATAATTGCTCGGTGTATGGTTGTGGAAAATCTCGGAGATCTAAAGGAATCGGGATCTTTAAAGTCCCAAATCGTCCTTCGAAGCCCTACCAGGAGTGGCGGGCTGCATGGCTGAATGAATTAAAAAAGCACAGAGAACTGGATGCAAATTTTAAAAGGCAAATAGAACAGGACACAGTTCACACCTGCGAAGAACACTTCCACCCACATGAGATAGAAGTTTGTAAGTGTCTTATTTATATTATTATGTTTTATTTGATATATATTGACCGCTTATCCTAAAGGGATAATACGCTGTTCTTCTTTAGGCCAAACTGTGTTCATCGATTTATTTGACCTTCCACTTCATTTAAGTCATAGTTATTTTCTTTGATTAATTCAAATGGCTATCCTAACAGATGAATACGTTGCAAAGAAAAGAAAACATTTTTCTCAAAATAATAACTTTGCATGTAATGTATCCTTTTAAAAGAAAACCGGCGCATTATATATATCTACTTAGGCCCGACGAACTTTGGGGTTGGGTAATGTCCCTTGTCGATGCAGTGTAGCAGCGTGCGAATGATTATTAAGGTATAATTGATGTGTTTCTCGTTACCTTAGCTGTTGGAACAAAAATCAAAAAGAGGTTTGGAGCATTACCAACTTTAAAGATGCCAAAAAAGAGTTGCGAAACCCCAAAACCAAGAGAAAGAGAGGCAAGGACCATTGTGAAAGACCATGTTGCTGTAGCAAAACATTGCTATAAAGATTTCAAAGATGTCATCAATAGAGTTTCAAGCCTAAAGGCTTTGGAGGGCTGGTCTGTAAACATTAAAGAAGATCGCATTGTTTTGAAAAAAGTCGAGGAATTTACTCTTATCCCCAAATATGAAATCACAATTGATGTTGGCTTGGCATTCTTTGTATCAGTCTATGGCTGGTTTTTGCGGGAAAACAATCCTATTTACACAAAGAATTTTCGGTCACTGCGCAACATTTTCATATCAAACCTGATTAAAGATATAGAAGGTTATCCAATTTGCAACGGAAATTCGCCGATAGATATTTCGGGCAATGTGGTGAATCATGTGATACCAACTTATCAAGATCCATTATCTATGGATGAAAGCTCTAAGCAGTATCCAAGAAAAGAGTACTGGTGCTCCATCTGGTGCAGTATCATTTCTCCAGGTGAGCAGTGTTTACCATGTGCACAGCAAGCTGCAAAAGCCAATAAATCACATGAATTAAAGTCAAAGAATCTTCATGGAAAGATTGTGTGGATCATAGGCCTGGGCAGTTTACAGAAAATGGTAAAGCAAAAATGTTTCGATCAAGACAAACTTACGAGGGATTGCAAATAACAACATATTCAGTGATAGAGGCCACCAAATATTTGATATGTCAAGGAGTTGATTTTGTTTTGACAGAAAGGTTCTGTCAGGATCCCGTAGAGGAATACTTTGGCAACCAGGGAAAACTTGGTAGGAGGAATGACAATCCTGACATTCGGCAGTTTGGATACAATGCAAATACAATTCGCACACAAAGGTCCATTTCATGTGAAAGTGGAAATACTAGAGGGAGGAAAGATAAATCCAGATCACGGTGGAATTTTTCTGATGACCCAGTGCCCTGTCGAAAAATCAAACATAGCTTCAATAAATAGGTTGACTATTAGACTTTATCTGTTTTAGTTTGTACTGAGCATAAACAGTTATTCAAGTGTGCACAACCTTACTGTTAAGCCCCTAAGCATCCTCATTCTTACAAATCTTATGAACAGTATTACTCAAGCTTTACTTTTATTTAACTCCATTCTACATGAATATTCTAGATGCTGTCTGGCAACATAGACTGTCATTTTCTCTTTCAGAGATGGTTTCGCAGCCAAAATGTTTATTTAGAAATGATAACTAGTTGCTTTAAGGGTAATGTAATTCTTAAATATATGGCAACCTGAGTAGCTGTCAGTCTGCCCTTGCAGGGCGACCAAGAGCAAGACTGTTCCCTGGGCCAACCAATGGGTCTTGCTTGACAATGAATACAGATTCTTGAATATGATAATTAATATAGATTCTAAAATTATTGGCTCCAAAATAAGCCTGGGCCCTAAGCACTTGCCCTGGCTACCCTCCCCTTTTGGCAGTCCTGTGCACTTGTTATCTATGATAGATGATTCAGAGGTCTATGCACAAACTTTCTTAACCCTTTTCTTTTGGTCTTCCCTGTGTCATAAGCTTCACAAATGTGGTAATCCCAAACACAAACTGCAATTTTCAAAGTAAACTTTCAAGTTAAATTTTGACAAGGAAGCAACAATTTGTTTTATGAGACATCCTGTATCATGAAAATGCAAATTCCATTAAAATTACTTAAATTAAGGTACTAGTCACAACATGTATAAAGTTACTAAAAGCAGAACTGTGTCAGCTAGATGTTAAATGTATTTAAATAATAAAGAAAATTGTTTCCAGTTTTATAACAACAATGTCATTTTCCTATTTTTGAACTTTTGATTTATGGCCACTTTGTCTTTTTATTTCAGCTCTTAATCCTTTAGATCGCACTTGTCTTGAGTGCAATTTGTATTGCTGAATAATATCATGTGCATGTGAAAAGCAACGTACGCGTACATACAAAGACAGGATACTAAAGAGCAGATCTTTGACTAAGTAGGAGCTTGGGCATATGTCAATTTCTGAAACCACAGAAGCAAACAAGCTGTTGAGATGATCATCATTCATTGCTGCATTAATTATACCTTGAAAATTTAACTTTTCAACTCCAGATGTTGATTTGCCTGCCCTGAAGTATTGTTCTGTTATTAAAAAAACCATCTCCAATTCTTTTTTGATTGCCCAAAGACCGCCTCTGTTTAAACATGCAACAAGGCGGTTGTCTGAAGTGTCAGCATCATCTGCTTTACAGGCACGTAAAATTGCCATCAAATGCTGGCATTCTAATGAACGCCAATTTTTTCCATTTCTGTATTTTTTGTGCAGGTTATGCAAAACATACCCTCCAATATACTGTAGCCCTCCTAGTTCTCTTTCACACACTTCTTTACAATGTATTTTTGGATTTTTCTGGGTCAATTCTTTCAAATGAACAATCATCATATCTGCAAACTTGGTAGCAAGTAAAGTTGCTGCATTTGATGCCAGGCCTGGAAAGAAATCTCTTGATTTCAATGGGACAGACGCATAAAAACTTGCGTAGAACTTTTCTGAATCCCTGTTCTTTTGAAAAGAGTTGTATATATCGTAAATAATTTTGAACTGTGGGCTACATTTTTCAAGCTCAGTTAGCTGATAAATTGAGAGTTCATGCTGAATTGGTTTAGAGAAAACAGCACTGTTTCTAATTTTAGTAGCTGCATTCTCAGTCAAAGACTTTAGGATAGCAGGAGTTAACATATTGCAATTTTGCAATGTTGAACTCTCTGTGTGGCCATTGTTGTTTTCTTCAGGATGCTTTGCTGTTATGTGCCTCTTCAAGCCTGCAATAGTTCTACATATTTTGCCACACTTTTCACATTGGCTGTCTTTTTTTCAACCTAGAAAAGTAATAATTATGCCTAAGAATATGCTACCATTATAAATTCATACTCAGACAATCTTTCCTGTAAGGTATATAAAGTTTAAAGAACATTTATTTAAATAATGTCATAGCCAAGTTCCTATTTTAGCATAAAGGGGTTAGAGCTTGGAATTCTCAACTATTGCGTTCTGAGTTAATTTTGAAATTTGTGCTGCGTTGGTATTGAAGCCTAACATCGATTCTAAGTTCTTTCTGAGGGTGAAATCCATGTAACACTCACGCCGGCTATTGGCGAATAAATCATTAACTTGCACCTAAGGTTCTATATCTTAATGCTAACACCAAAATTGTTTATGCTAAAATGGATAGGACGTTTTTATCGTTGTGAAAAGGACTTATGCACAACTATCGATACGGGCGTTTTCAGGAAAATTATAGTGATGAGGCACCTACATACAGCATCAATACACACCTGTTCTACGGCAGCATTGAATTCTTCTTGTACCGCATCATCGTCTTCGAGGGCATCCAAAATAGCATCGAAATCGTCTCCAAATACGAATTCCCCATTGACAACGACCATGTTTTGATCAAACTTGTGCACGGTCATGGTCACCTGACACCCGAGTTCAACCTCCAATGGAGAACAATGAGGCGGGCCTTTGAAGTGCACCGTGTTTCATAACCAGAGTTCTCCTCTATTAACTATGGTGGAACATGACCTCGATTTTGCATTGTTAAGAAAATAAAGTGTGTAGACCTAGCCATGAAAAACCTTTACATTCAAGGGGTTTAAAATTAACAAAATTTCAAATCAATTATTGCTGTTACCCCATAAAACTAAAATTATTTTCCATAACTAGAACCCAAACTCCTTTCGGTATTTATACGAGCAACGCGCAGCGTTCGACCTTCAACCTGTTGGTGTTTCGAGCTGATAAGAAGCCAGTAGAGCCACGTGTTTGAACAAGTCTGTATTTTACTTTTCTCTTTTTGAATTTATCGTATTCCATTCTTATTTTCAAGCTACATCTAGTTACAATTTGCTTCTTAGTTATGGATAACCAAGATAATTTGTATGCTTCTAGTGACCTTCGACCTCTGACCCCACACGTGCAAGGTTCAGGAGTCGAAGTCGATTCTGGGTCTTCTTCCGAAACACAACCAGGTTTTCTTCATACGCATTCGTCGTTAGATTTATTTAATGTACGAAGAGATTTGAACGAATTGACTGGACTTTTTAAAGAGTTTGTTAATTATAATATAGGCAGAGATAAAGAGCGGAGTTCTTCCTGCACAGCTGTAAGACCTGACCAGCATTCACCAACTCGTTGCAAGAGGTCTTATGATGAAATGTCTGTATGTCAGACCCATAATTCATTTGAGCACGATTCTGTGTCTCACACCAAATGTTATCCGGTAGCTTTTTCTTCCGTTGAAAATCAGGATGCTATATCATCCAAACATTCAAAGCAAGTAGATATTGATTCGTTGTTTCATGTGCCTTCCACAGTAAATTCTGAGGCATCTGTCCCAGATCTTAATATGGAAGAAGAAGTCTTCGACTTTGTTGATAATGAGTTATCCGAGGCAGTTTTAGACAAGAAAGGCAAGGGTCTTTCCTCTGATAAGCTGGCCTCAAAAATTGAGGAACAATGGAAAAATCCCAGCAGAAAAGCAGTTGCTCAGGTTTTTAAGAGGCACAAGCACCCTCTTAACCTTGAGAGTATTTTTGTTCCAGCTATGCCAAAGTTGTGAATGAAAATACCTTCATTTAAGGATTCTGTTTTGGCTAGGGAGAGGAAATTATATCATGTTCACCATTCTGTTGCTAAATCCTCCCACATCATTTCAACTTTGGCTGATGATTTACTTCTTGCAGAAAAGGAATCATAGCTGACACAAAAGCTATTGACACAAAAGCTATTGACACAAAAGCTATTGTTTTGAAAGCCTTTGATGCACTATCTAATGCCAGTGTCAATATCTCAAATTTACGAAGGCTCAATGTAAGACCTATTCTTAACAAGGATGTACAGGGACTATGTGACCCTACTCGTGAAGTCTCAAACCATTTGTTTGGAGACGACATTGAAAAACGCCCGAAGCAAGAAAGGGAGTCTAAACGTCTTGCCTCTGCTGCTACTCAACCGATACCTCAGTCTACTAGGTATAGACTGCATGATAGGCAGATACCAGTTTTTAATAGGCGAACACAGCACTCTTTTTATATTGGTCCTACTCAGCAGTCTTTTTTAGAGAAAGGCTAGAAGTCTCGTCCATATCGGCGGAAGCAGAAGCCCTACAAGGGATAAATGTAAATAATTTTATTTCATTTCTCCCTAACTGACCAAATATCTTTTGTACAAGATTGACACATTTAGATCAGGTGCACTTAAAAATCATCTGGAACGTTGGTATACTGTCACTAGTGATTTTGAAACTTTACACACTGTAGCTGGTTTACAGCTTGAATTCTCATTGCCTCTCAATTTTGAGAGAAATTATGCTGTGCCATTTTCAGCTAAAAAAAATGAGTTTATTCTAGCAGAGATTAAAACATTACAGGATAAACATGTTATAACAGAATGTGATCATGAAGGAGATGAATTTATCTCCCCAATTTTCCTTGTCCCAAAAGATGGTGATTTTTTAGACTTATTCTTAATTTGCGGAAATTGAACGAGTCTATGCCATATATGCATTTTAAGATGGACACTTTTGACAAGGTTATCAAATTGGTTAGACAAAATTGTTTTATGTGTACTGTAGATATAAAGGATGCTTATTATTCAGTAGCCATATCTGAATCCTGTCAAAAGTATCTGAAGTTCAAGTATCAAGACAAACTGTTTAAGTTCTTAGCGTTACCAAATGGATTACATATGTTCCAACCCTCCCGATATGACCGGGAGACTCCCGATTTCAGAGGTCATCTCCAGACCTCCCGACAATTAGAAAACCCTCCCGATTTTTGAGAAAAACTTATAAAAATAAAAGGCTGGTATAAAATAAAGAAGAATCAAGATCACTGTCAACAGTGCAACCTTTTCAAAACGGACGAAACGATTCGACAATAGTTACGACATCGGATAAAGCCAGATGCCAAACTGCCAGAAGCCAGACGCCAAACTGTGGAATTTTATTGCTCAATGCTCTTCGTAACAAATTCTTTTGATTATCAAACTGTGAGCAGGCTAATTTTTCCTTTGTGAATTTCTCTCAGAAACATGCGCCTCAATTGCTTTGGTTGAGGAAGAATGGCATCAAGAAATAAAAAATTAAAAAACAAGCTATTCTGAGGATTTTAAGGAAAGGTTTAATTTTGTTACAAAATGTTCTTCACATGTGCCTGACTATCAACACAAGATCCATTGCACAATATGCAATACGAATATATATCTTGCTCATGGGGGAGCAAACGACATCACGCGACATGGAGAAACACCAGGACATAAAAAACAAGCAGAAGCGTTGAAAGGTAAGCGTTTGGATTGTTAATCTCTTGTCTCAGTACTGAACATCAGGGCCACCGAAAGCAGGGGGACGGGGCAGATGGCCCCCAGGGCCTAGACCTAAGTAGGGCCTCGAAAAAGTAGTGTTTTTAATCATATTTTTCTTGCTTCAGGGGGAGGGGCCTCGTCGGCGCTGGTATGTAATTTTGCCCCGGGGCCTCAGCTTGCTCTCGGCGGCCCTGCTGAACTTTTTTCAGCTTTTTTGAACTTTCTTAACTTTTTGAGGAGCCTAATACTAGGACTGCTTCCTTACAAACAACTTTCTTATAAAAAAGTTTAAACCCCAAGAATCTTATTTTCCCTTTTTTGTTTCTTCAGGGAATACCCACCTGGTACTGCTAAAGCAAAATGAAGTTCACCCTTCCTTGCGAATGCGAACATTGGAGCACACAACTCAATCAAGTCGAGAACCGCTAAAAAAAACCCTGAGATAGTTATATCGGGTTGCCCTTGCCAGATTTTCCATAATGCCGCGAGTAAAGCAGCCAATGCCTTTGCTGTTGTATCGGACTTTAGCGTCGAAGATCATTGAGTAGATCTTTTTTACTGGTTCGATAAATCATCGAAGCGCAAGTCAATTTTAAAAGAGTACTATGACTTCTGTGATGAAGAATATAAGGAGGTTATAAAATATATTTCGACATGGTGGCTTTGTTCTGAGCGCTATGTTAACCGTGAACTACGGAAGTATAATGGCTTGCGTTCGTTCTTTTTGTCAGAGAATGAGAGGGACAAACCATTTTTACGGCTATCTGAAGCTTTTTCTTACACGATGACTGAATTCTATTTGATGTTTTTCCAGGCTGCATTGCCAACATTCACAAATTTCAATAAGTTTTTACAAACAGAAGAGCCACTGATTCAATGCCTACATGAAGAAATGCAGAACTTTATGAACAAGTTAGCGTCTAAATTTGTCAAGCCAGAAATCATCCGAAAGCTAAAAGATGACAAATCATGTTTCAGCAAACTTGAGACAGGTCTTGCGAATCAAAAAGACGACCAGGATTTAACTATTGGTAACATGACCAAGCCCAAACTTCGTAGAGCTCTAGAGGAAGGTGACATTAGTGAAAGCGATGTTGATATGTTTATGATGCTTTATGAAGGGAGTTTTTTGAAACCGCGTACAGTTACTGTGTCAAATGGTTACCTATGGATGACCCTTTATACAAGGGAAGCAGGTTCATTGAATTCTCAAATCGGGGAAGAATTCCTTTTGATGAATTAACTGAACTGATACTATCATTTCGGCGGCGTTTTGAGAACTATGTCAAAGACCCACACCAACTTGACGCACTAGAGGAGGAGTATCAACTATACGAATCGATGTCCAATAATGAAATTCGTAAAGATGTGTGGGATGAATCAATAGTCAAGGTGTCGGATGAGCGCACATATCATCGTATGGACATCATTTGGAGTCATCTCAAAACAATGCTTCCTAAGCTTGCGAATATTGCCCTCTTTTTGCTAACTATTCCTCACAGTAACGCTGGTGAGGAACGAATCTTTAGTATGATTGGGAAGAACAAAACGAAATTCAGGTCTAGCCTTGACAGTGACACTTCTTTGAATTCGATCATGCTGATTAAAATGAACAAACCAGAATCAATTAAGCCTTGCTATCGATGGAAATTTTCGAACGATCTACTTAAGAAATATAAGGCTGCCTGTTAAGAATATAATAAGCAGCATTCCTCTTCATAGCTTGTATTAGATAAGAACTTTCATGACATGTTTAATGTTTCGGTTTATTGTTTGTGTTAGAATTACAATATTTTCAATATTATTTTCCAATTATTTTTCGTTTTATTGACGTTTTTAACATTTGTTGTTGTTTATTCATCATAAAAGATAACCTTTCTTATAATTTCAAGCTAATCTAAGTGACATAAAATTGCCAACAAATTTTGTAGGAGTTAAATCGGGGTTCGCATGGGTTCGCACTGATTGCAAAATAACATTTCCTACAAAAATATAATTATAATCGTGCACAGTGGCGTTTCTAAGCCCGGAACTTTTTCATCCTCTTCATTTGACCCCCCTCCTCACTTTCTAAGAAAGTTCTTTGATATAACTGACCTATTGATTACGAAGAACTGTTTTTCCAATAACATATTACAGACAGAGAAATTAAAGAATCCTGAGCCATTTTGAGGCCACAGAAATGACAAAATGTCAGGAGCTTCCGAGGGCTTTGCCCCCTGGACCCGCTGGGGGGCTTAGACCGCTCCCCAGACCCCCAGCTCTAGTTTTTGGCCTTGCTCCGCTCGCGATGTCTCCCGCTTTTCCTTCTCTACAGGTTGGAAGGTATGGGATTATGTTCTGGTCCAAGGAAGTTTACAAAATTATTAAAACCTGCTTTAGGGTTCTTGAGAAGGCAAGGTTTCATTGTCTCAGCATATATTGATGATATCATAATAATTGATGAATCATATGATGCTTGTATTAAAGCTACTGTTGAAACAATCAAATTATTGGATTTCTTAGGTTTTGTTATTCATCCTAAAAAATCTAATTTTTTTCCTTCCAAGTGTGTTACCTATCTAGGATTTACTATCAATTTAGAAACAATGAATGTCACCCTCTCATCAACCAAAGTATTGAAAATTAAAGATAAATGTTCCAAATTGTGTATGTCTCATAACCTAGCAATAAGAGATGTTGCATCAGTGATAGGCTTAATTGTGAGCACATTCCCTGCTGTTAAATTTGGGCCTTTACACTATAGATCATTAGAAAATGATAAAATTCAGGCACTAGCTATTTCTAAGGGAAATTTTGACCATGCCATGTCACTGTCTAAAACAGCCTATGATGACTTAAGGTGGTGGATTGATAATGTTGAAAGCTCATTTAATGACATGGCAATCTCTAATCCTGAAATGGTTATTGCTACTGATGCCTCATCTACTGGTTGGGGAGCTGTCTTAGGCAGTACAAGGACAAGAGGGGTTTGGAATCTCCATGAGCAACAACTCCATATTAATGTGCTTGAGCTAAAGGCTATTTTGTATGGGCTAACTTCTTTGATTGACCAAAGGAATACACATGTTAAAATTTTGACTGATAATATGAATGCAGTACACAGCATTAAAAATATGGGATCTTGTCGTTCTTTGGCTTGTAATGAAGAAGTGAAGCAAATTTGGAATCGGGCTATCCAGAATCAAAACTGCATATCTGTGTCCTTCATCCCAGGAGTTCAGAGCTGATGCTGAATCTAGAAACTATGAGCTTCGAACAGAAGGGCAGTTAAATCCATCTGTGTTGAAATTTGTAATCAAAAAATTAAATGTTACCTTAGACATTGATTTATTTGCCTCTAGAATCAATTGCCAATTTAAGCCTTTTGCATCGTTTTGGCCAGATCCAGAGGCTTCAGCAATTGATTCGTTTACATTTAGCTGGTGAACCATTAAATTTTATGCCTTTCTTCCATCTGCAACTGTTCCTAATGTTTTACAAAATATTTCTTCTGACAATGCAACTGGTTTTCTAATTGTTCCTAATTGGCCATATAGTCCCTGGTATTCTCTGTTCAATGTTGATTTCTGAACGAATTGTTATTCCTTCCAGCAAGCATCTAATGTTACTGCCAAACCGTCCACAAGCTATGCACCCACTACACAAATCTCTGCAACTGCTAGCTGGCATGATATCTGGAACAAAAGATTACCAATAGGTATATCATCTGAAGCCAAATATATAATTGATTCATCTTGGTCATCTGGTACTTCAAAACAATATTCTACCTATTTAGACAGATGGTTTGTTTATTGTCAAAGAGTGGACATATGTCCCACACATTATTCTATTAATCATAGAATTAACTTCCTAACAGAATTGTTTAACAAACATAATTTGGGCTACTCTGCTATGAACACTGCTCGTTCAGCTTTATCCAATATTATGACACCAGATGCAAGTTCGTCATTTGGTAACAATCCACTTGTTAAGGTTGTTTTCCACTAAGCGGAAGACTGCGAGCGGTCCGCTTTGCACGCTCATCGGACATGCGCATTGGTAAGCTTAGTCCAAATCAAGCGGAGATTTCGAGCACGCTGAAAAGTAGAATCAAGTTCTACTTTTTGGGCGGACCGAGTGGAAATTGTGTTAACAATGGATGGAAGCTTGGTTCCCCTAGATCTGCAATCTGTTATTGCAACAATGATAAAAGCTCAAGCATCGCAAGGATCACCTGGGCCTTCGTCGTCAGATGCAATGTCATCTCAACAAGCCACATACTTGCAACAAGAAGCAAGGGCAGATTTTGTAACAGTAGGTTCTTTGGTTTGTTTACATTTTGTTGACTAGCCAATCAGAGAGCTCTATTTCTATGGCGTCATCTGATGGTAATGGCGGATGGAGGGGTTTGCTATGGAGAAAACCACACCCTCGTTTTTTCCTCGCAACGAAAATATACTTTGAGAAAAACTCGAGATTTTTTGCACCCGTATAGAACGATAAATTTTACATGTAATTTTATTGGCACTAAGCTCTGCGTTTACTGCTCTTTGCGTGATCGCTCGCTATTGACATCCCTTTTTGCACGCCCTCAATGGCTCGATGACCCTCCGACGACTTGGCCCTAAACCCAACAAATCACGCTCCTCTACCAAAAACAACAGTGGACTTCAATTGCACTGCTAGCAGATGTAAGGAATATTTCAAAAAGGGTCTTACAGTGTTTTTTAAATTATTTTTCAACCTAAAATAGCTATTAAGGTGGATATGTATATGTAGCGCTAGCCCTTCGGGGGAGGGGTCTAGCCATAATTTCGGCGGGACGGAGAGTGAAAAGCAACTAAAAAACAGTAACTGAACAAACTTGCAATCAACATGGTTATACGAAGATGGCAGATAAGACACAATGTCCCACCGCTGTTCGATGTTCATTTAAAATTCCCATTGGTTGGACTATACACTGCACTCCCCCACTCCAATGTATCCGGAAAGTTTTGAATATTGCCAGGAATCTGTTTTTAAGTATTTTTTAAATAAATTCAAAGACAATTCTCTTAATAACCTTTCCATTAATTTCCTCGAATTTTTCCTGTGTTTCTTTGGCGTTGAACTATTTATTCGTCAAAAATTCATCTTATTATAGATGTGTAAGCAAACTTTTTGAGGGTCTTTCCTCAAGATGGTAGCATCGGAAACAAGTGAGTTGACACATTAGCAGTGTCTAGAAATAATGTTTTATCACAATGATCGAAGAAAAGCTATTATTTAATTGTTCGTATAATTGAATGCAAAAAACTGCTGATTTAGAAAATTGCAAAATAATTTGAAAGCAAGAAGCATAAATTTTGGTCACGTTCAAAAAGAACAAGAACTCTCGCGAGACAAATGGTCGAACGTTCTGCCCTAACCAGTTTGCATCGAAACTGGTTTGCTTCATCGCACAAAATTGAACAAAATTTTTACAGAAAATTGTAAATTGAAGTTGAAAATCATAACTTTTAAAATCTGTCCATAAATATTGCAAGAAGCAAAGTAAACAATTACAAATGTACACTCGTACTTATCGATTTCAGCAAGACTTGCAGCGGTAAAGAAAGCAGCTTTTGCACTGAATAAAATGCCTGCTTTTCAAGAACGTTTATGGTCTGGTAAAATGTTACTAAATGTTATACATGATTTGTAATTGATTGTTGGCATCTCCATGCAAATAATCTTCCCAACTGAAAGTAAACACGTTGTTTTTCAAAAGTTTTTGTGTCTTGAGAACGAGTTTATAAAAAATTATAATGTTTCATTGGCCAATTTGTAATTGAGTTCTAACCACCTGACTTTTCTGCTCTGCGTTGATTTGACATTGGTTTATTTGCGTAAAGATTGTACTGCAAAGGTTTCATATTTCAACAAAAGCTAATAACAGAAAAAAATAAAGAAGGTTGGCAATATTTTAACGTCTTGGTTCATCTTGGAATGGTTTCTCAAAAACATTATCGTTTCTTATAAACTATCTGGTGGACCCTCATGTATTTTTGAAAAGTCCTTTTGCCAATCTAAATTTGTTCTATAACTTGACAAAGGGCGATGCTCAAAATTTCGTTTTTAACACTTTAATTTTCCTAGTACAATTTACCTTATTTTCCAGTTATATTGTCAAATAATATTGTACAGATGCAAACTATAACGTTTTTTGAATTTGTTTTTGTGCGGAAGTGCAATCGATCGTCGAGCAATTGAGGGCGTGCAAAAAGGGATGTCAATAGCGAGCGATCACGCAAAGAGCAGTAAACGCAGAGCTTAGTGCCAATAAAATTACATGTAAAATTTATCGTTCTATACGGGTGCAAAAAATCTCGAGTTTTTCTCAAAGTATATTTTCGTCGCGAGGAAAAAACGAGGGTGTGGTTTTCTCCACAGCAAACCCCTCCATCCGCCATTACCATAAGATGACGCCATAGAAATAGAGCTCTCTGATTGGCTAGTCAACAAAATGTAAACAAACCAAAGAACCTATTGTTACAAAATCTGCCCTTGCTGCAACAAGAACCTCTGTCTGATGAGTTGCCTAGGACAGTTACTGGGGAATTTGATGTGGAAATTTTTATCGAAGAACTTAAGAACTTCCCATGCTTGTGGAATACTTCACTGAGAAGCTATCACGAAAAGCACACGAAACAAAATTCCTGGATGGTTCAATCGGAGAAATTTGGTAAAAATGGTAAGGATGGAGTTGCTTTGTTTCAGTAGTCATCTGGATTTCTCCAGGAGCATCCCAGGAACACCTATACTATTTGGGGTTTGCCCATTACTGTTCTGCAATGTTGTGTGAGAATCCACAATCAAAAAATTCTTTATTTCTTTGAAGATTTGCTTTAAACTACTAGGAAAGGGTTAATTTTTGAAAAAAATAAACCTTGAATTAAACTTGACATTTTTTCTCTAGTTGATTTTCTCAAGATACAGTTAAAGTATCTAAAAGATAATTTGAAACGATGTCTGGACAAAATAAACAAGGAAACAAGATCTGGAGCTTCACACACAAATTTGCCAAAATGTAAATATTTTGATCAGCTTTCATTCATGCATGACAAGGTTTCGAGTCGTCAGACAGAGAGCAATGTTTCACTTGAACCAACCGAACCAACCTGTTCAGAATTAACAGACAGAGATGTTTGTCCAAGCACAGATTTATTATCAAAGGAAGAGCCTGTAAAAAGGAAAAATTTAGAAATTCCAAATGGGAAGGGGAAAAAGGCAAGACAAGGTTTGGGATAGGCAGTTGATGCCATGTTATTATCAACTATCAAGGATATGTCACAAAATGAGAAAAAAAATACTGAGACATCCATTAATGAAGATGCTGATTCCCTCTTCTGCAGGAGCTGTGTTGCCACCCTGTAGAGACTACCTCCAAAGAAGAACAGTGAAGCCAAAATGAAAATCCAGCAATTGCTACATAATATTGAGTTTTCAGACTAAAGCTTTGAAACACCAAATTGATTTGTATCATAAACTGATTGTTATCTTTTGACTAATTTTACTTACCATAAATTCTCTTTTAAATCCCCTCTCAGTTAAGCCCCCTCTCTCCTATTAGCCCCCTTTTTAAAAGCAAAAAATTTAGAAGCCCCTCACTCTATTAAGCCCCATCCCCCAAAAGCATTGAATAGTGTCATAAATAAGCTTCAAGAAAGTAGTTGTAGTAAGCCTGATCACACTCAATAGACAACAGTTTTCAATAAAGTGCACTACTGAGAATTTTATATATTTGAGAAATATATTTAGCCCCCTCTCTCTTTTAGGCTTCCCTCTTTAATAAGCCCCCTTTAGAGTGCTTGAAATCAATAAGGCCCCTGGGGGGCTTAGTAGAGAATTTATGGTATTTGCTATAATAATACTGTTCTGTTCACATTTTGTGCCAAAAGTATACAGAGATGTTCTCAAGGTCAGAATAGAAGACAACTAAGGCCTTTGCTTCACAACTATATTTTGCAAGCACCCCCCCCCCACCTTAAAGAAGGAGAAAATATTTTGAACCCCCTAATTTGCCACAGTGACTATGAATAAGATCACTATCTATAGAATTTATAAGTATGACCAAAATATATAGATACAATATTATATATAGATATATGATATAGTTAGAGAAACATACCCCCACTTGGCATTGCATTGTGCACCCAAAAGGGTTTACTCCACTATTTGAGAAGAACTGTCTTTTGTCTAATTTGGGAAAGAAGAAAAAAGCTAATATGGCTATGCTAGTCTAGGCTACAAAATTCTGTTTTTCAAAGCCTCCAAAACTTCAAAGTAATTGTTATGTTATCAAGCAGGTCAAATTTCTTAAATAGTAATGTTCTTCTTAGGAATTGTTCAAGTAATAAATGGAGGGAGCTGGTTTTTGTGTCACTTATATGAAGAGGGGGAATTTACTCTAAACAAGAGAGTCTGATAGCATATTTATGGTTATTTTGAAGATATTTCAATAAAATGTTGGAGATTATCCAGTTTATTCTTCATCAAATCTCTTAGCAGTTGATCTGACTGTTTGCCATTGCCAACTAAGGGTGCCCTCTTTGCAAAAATAATCTTTGAAGTCATCTCTAACTATTTTAGCTTCCTTTGAATAGTTATTGGAACCTTGACTTTGGATCTCTATTAAGCCTTCACAAGACTGGGCCTCTTCTCTCCACATTCCAACGTCTTGATCCCTATCTACAAAATTTGAAGGACAGTATATGCATCTGTCAGTCTCATCCAATGACATCAAAAATTGTGCAAAGCCACAATGGCTTTCGTTATAGCAATGACAGTGTCAACCTTTCCAATTACAGGTTGACGAAAAATCCTAAATCTTGCAGCCGCGATTCCAAAGGTATTTTCTATGACTCGCCTTGCTCTTGATAGCCTGTAATTGAAAACACGCTTATGTTCATCAAGGCTATGGCAAGGGTATGGCTTTATCATATGCTGCTTCAATGAAAATGCTTCATCAGCAACAAATAGAAATGGGAACACTTTTTGAGTTCCATGTATCACTTCCGGTGGGGGGAGATTCAATTTTTGATTTTCAATTGCAAAGCCAAGTTTGCTGTTTGTGTACACCCCACCATCGCTTTGTCTCCCAGCATCACCTACATCAACCAAGACAAACTTATAACTAGCATCACAGGTCGCCAAAAGAACGATGCTATGTGTTCTTTTGTAATTGTAAAACACTTCGTGAAGGGGCTTGCATTGCAACATGCTTCCCATCTATTGCCCCTAAGCAATGTGGAAAATTCCATTTTTCATTGAAAGCTTTGGCAATTGTTTTCCATGCAGCTTGACTATTTGGAACTGATAGAAAATTCCTTTCCAGAAGCACCATCCACACTACTTTACAAGTCTCTTCAACAATCCTTCCAACTGTAGTAGGGCTAATTCGATAGCTTAAGGCTATTGTTGACTTGGCATCACCCGTAGCTAAGTACCGTAAAGTCACAGCAAGGCGCTCATTTGGATGTACTGGCTCACGAAACCTTGTTGTCTGTCTTATTATGTGTGGAGCAACCCAAGATAATAGTTTTTCAAAGGTAGATGGTGACATGTGAAAACAAGCAAAGAAAAGCTCATGATCAAATAATCTTAACTCGTTCACTAACAAGTGAAATTCACCCTTAAGTGACAGTCTTGGTAAATTTTTCTGACCCACATTTTTTTCTTGTATTTTTCTTCATTTCTTCTTAATCTTCTCCGCAGCAGAACCAACAACAGAAGCTTTATTTTCATTTCTGAACTTACGGTGGCCATCTTGTCTCGTCTCTCCCACGCTCCGTCCCTTATTTTCCGCCAAGCAATTTCCATCAGGAGGAAAAACCGCTTATTTTCCGAGCGGGCCGCTCACATTTTTCCGCCTAATGGAAAACAACCTTTAAGAGATTACTGCAAGGGATGTTTAACATACGTCCGATTATTCCTAAGCATGTTAACACTTATGATGTTGATGTTGTGTTACAGTATCTGAAGGGCCTAGGTGATGCAGATGCTATTCCATTTAAAATGCTTACCTTTCGTCTTGTAACATTGTTTTGTCTTCTATCAGGACAGAGAGACCAAACATTTGCTGCTATTGACATCAGACTTATGGATGTTTCTGATGACAGAGTTGTTTGTAATATTGATCAAGTTCTCAAAACAACTAGACCTGGTTTTCATCAGTCACCTCTTGATTTCCGTGCATTCCCTGATAGCAAGGCTATTTGTCCTGTATTTAATACACAGCAGTACCAAAGTTACTGCTACAAGCCAATTTTGATTGTTGATATTGATTTTTTGTGTGCGTACAATCGATCATTTCTCAGTTCAAGTCTTCTTGATAAACACATTGCCAGTCTCTTTGAAGTCTCGTATAAATACCGAAAGGAGTTTGGGTTCTAGTTATGGAAAATAATTAAAAAATTAAACAAACCTAGCTGTAGTTTGATGTAAATTATTTTCCATACCTAGAACCAAACGTCGTGGGATTTATACACCCACCTGACCCAAATAATTATGTATTTTCCCTTTTTTCTAGTGTTCATTTTCAGGACTGGCAGGCTCCACTGGTATGTCTTTGAATCAGGTCGAACGCCGCGCGTTGCTCATATAAATCCCACGTCGTTTGGTTCTAGGTATGGAAAATAATCTACATCAAACTACACCAAGGTTTTTTAATTTTTTAATTTTGCATATTTCAATTGTTTTAAATCTGAATATCACATTAGACTCAGCTTAGGTTTGAAAAAATGTGACGAACAACGCATGCAGTCTTTACTAGAGCTTAGATCAACACAAAAAATGAGAGAATTTCCTCTTTCAAGACAAAAACTCTCAATAGCATTCAACTGTTCATGTAAAAATGCTCCACGTAGCCGGAAAAGCTTTTAAACTGATACATAATGACCTTTTTCGCGACTGTACTATGTCCTGAGCATCTCTGCTGAAGCACAGGCATCTAAGTATTGTGGGGCGCCCAAACGGAATCGTAATAAATGTACATTAAGGGAACAAAAGCTACTCAAAAGCAAATAAGAAATATTTACTGTGTTTTTGTGAGTGTTGGAATCCGGCTTTGCCAATTTTTTTAATCATGATTAACATACTGCGTTTGAAGGTGAATTTTTGGGTTATACTTGTCCTTGTGACATAAGAATTCAGATTTCAAACAATTCTTAACGCCCATCTCTTCCAGTCCGTTGCAATTTTAAATTTAGGAGATACAAATGCTGATGAATTTTGATAGCAGGAACTACCCGCATGTTTCTCAAATTGATGACGTGTTATAACAAGGTGAATTTTCAAAAAATTAAATTCAACTTTGAAAAATATTGCAAGGGTTTTGAAATCTTGTGATTTTTCAGTGAAAGGTCTACATATTGATTCTTGTGATAGTTTTAGAATAAGGAGTTGCAAATTGTTTGCCATTGGAATTGTTTTGCTTGAAACGTTAAACTGTAAAACTGTTAGAATAAAAATTCATTTTTTGAACACGGCTGATTTCTAAAAAAATCTTGCAAGGGGGCTCTATTTCATGATGTTATGTGGGATATCAACCCGCAAGCGTTGGATAAGAGAAATAGTATGAAGAAAAAAACAAAGAAACCTAAACAGCCATTTGTTTCTGATGGATCTAACATCAAGTTAGATCGTCTTTTCACTTGATGGCCATGACAAGATGATGGGGTGTCAAAATTCCACATTCCCCTTGGCTATTTATGGCTGCCTTGACACCTTCTCACGTAAAATCATATTCCTTCATTTATGAAAAAGGAAATTCTGATCCAGTTGTGATTGGTCACTACTACATGCAGCATTTGGTTGAAACTGAGATGATGCCAAATTACCTTGGGCTGGATAAAGGTACTGAAACTGGCACAATGGACATAATTCATGTTTATTTGCGTAACAAGCAAGCGGATTTGAATGAACCTGCTGATTCTGTTGTATTTGGACCGTCTACCTCCAACAAGATTCAAAGGTGGTGGAGGGACCTTTATAGGAACGCTATTATTTAGCAAGAATTCAATGGTTCCCATCATATCCTATGACTTTCCATCGTTGGTGTTACTTCGACGAATCTTATTTAACGTACAGAGAACACGGAGCCAGTGAGAGAGACAGTGTATTGCTGTATAACTCTGATCTGAACTGAACTTGACTGACTGACTTACATACAAATTAACATACCTATATACAAAATAAATGTGCTGCGTAATGATGTGTTGTGATGATGTAATGATGATGCAATGGAGAAGGAAAGATCTAGACTTGGGAAGAAATCAGCATGACATAGATGTGTGAACGTGTGTACAATGGTGAAGGGAATGTCCTACGGTATGCGATGCCGTGAATGACGTAAGGGGATATCATGGTGCTGGCATGATCGATGAATGAGTGCAAATATGGCCTGTTTTACAATATTTAAATCACTACAATAGCTCCCCCCTTAGAATGCAAGCGGTTGTGAAGCATTCGATACGAAAGGGGAAAAGTACTAGGAATAAATTTGAATATTGTAAAGAGATGAATTAAATATAGTGAAATGCGATAAAAAATTTAAGTGTTCGAAATTTAAATGTCCAACCGTTGTAAATCGATGAGAGTTCGAGACATAGCCAGTGTTTTCTTCTGTTCGTGAATTCGGAGACTTGTGCAAGGTTTTTACGTTGGATGACCAGGAACCAGCTTGTTGAGGAGTTTTTGAGCGTTGATGTTGCGTGGAGGCACTGCGGTGAGTCGAGTGCTGCGATGCGTTGAGGGCACTACGGTGAGTCGAGTGCGTTTGTTGCTTGTGTTGAAGAGCACTACGGTGAGTCGAGTGCGGTGATGTGTTTGAGGGCACTACTGTGAGTCGAGTGCTGATGGTTGTCGATGAATCCAAATGAGTTGCGTTGTGTGTGTGAAGCTGAGTTGATGTTGACGAATCCTTGTTGATGAAAAACTTGATGTGTCTGATACCATCGAAGAGTTGATGTTGTATTTGAAGTAGAATTGACCAACAATGGGTTTGCGTGTCACGTCGTGGTCACCATTATAGGAACGCTATTATGTGGCAAGAATTCAATGGTTCCTATCATATCCTATGACTTTCCATCGTTGGTGTTACTTCGACGAATCTTATTTAACGTACAGAGAACACGGAGCCAGTGAGAGAGACAGTGTATTGCTGTATAACTCTGATCTGAACTGAACTTGACTGACTGACTTACATACAAATTAACATACCTATATACAAAATAAATGTGCTGCGTAATGATGTGTTGTGATGATGTAATGATGATGCAATGGAGAAGGAAAGATCTAGACTTGGGAAGAAATCAGCATGACATAGATCTGTGAACGTGTGTACAATGGTGAAGGGAATGTCCTACGGTATGCGATGCCGTGAATGACGTAAGGGGATATCGTGGTGCTGGCATGATCGATGAATGAGTGCAAATATGGCCTGTTTTACAATATTTAAATCACTACACCTTCATGAGAGAATGGAGAAAGATATCAAAACCTCACTGGCTTTATTACTAAATTCAAGAGCTTATGTTCTTCAAAGTTTTAGGGATAGGAAGCTTATGTCGTATTTGTTCATTCCAGTCTTGCAAAGAGAATGCAACGTCTTTGCCAACTTATGGAAAGCCCATAGAATAAGGCACCAAGCTTATGTACTCTCAGTTATTTGACCCCCCCCCCCCTCCTCCCATTTCTAATGGAATGTTTCAACACATTCGAAACCATCAAGAAATACATTTTTATATCACTACAGGAAACAGCTATACACACAGCATTTTATTAAAAAGTCGATAAAAGTTGATAAATCAAACAAATTAAAAACATACTAGAAAACCTTCAACTGAATTATTTAAATGTGCCAATCCCCCTTCTCCCTTGTATACAATCAAACGGTTTTGCTTGATCTCCTCCCCCTTTGTGCTTACATACTAATTGAATGACCCCTAAGAAAGTTACTTTCTAAATTTTATAGACAAAGAGCAATTACACACCGGCGAACTCATGCTTTTACAGATCTTCTGTCTGTAGAACTGCTTGTGCTATCACTGTTATGATAAAGACCTATTGAAACATTTTCTGACAGATAAAATCTATGGGGAGGCAATAAACAACATGTACTGTGTTTTGTGGTGTGCAAACTTCTTTATGTATGGTTTTAGGGGTTACCAAATTACTTTTTTGATAACCTTCTTAAATGGTATTGTTCTGAATGAAGTTTCACAACATTAAATTATCTGTCTTCCTTTGCCTGCAATACCTGTGCAGGATAGAAAAGATTGAATGGATCTACTAGCTATTATACAAAAGAGTGTTTCTTATACACACAGTATGCAAGTTTTGATTGAGTGGTCGTAGAAATTTATTATTATTGTGCATATTAAAAAAATAATAGTCTGCTTGTTTGGATGGACAGCCTTTTGTTACGAAGCAAAGCAAGATATAATAATTTGCTGACAAAAAAGCTAATAAGATGTTTACCATGTAGTTAATTACAAAAAAACAAGGCATCATAAAACATGCATCTGTGACTAAGTTTACTTCCAGTAAAACTCCTTTCAATAGCTAAAATCAGGAGGCAAGTGAGGGGGGTACTCCATATGGATTAATCAGGAAAGGATATGAGGCGGAAAAATATTCCCCAAAAATTGGCAAAAAATGTAATTGAAAAAGGTAAAAGCTTCATATAACAACATCAATTTTGTTTCAAACTAAACTAAATGTTTTGCTCAAAATGAATGTTGCAGTCATCATGTTCCAATCCATTGTTCTTGTGTCAAATTTAACATCCTGCAGTAATTGTTGGATGAATGTTCAGCAAAAAAGGTACTTATTGCCTTGAAAACCAGATTTCCAGCACAGAAGATTAATTCTCCATCCTCATGAAGGGTAGCAGTGGCGATCTCTGGGTCACAAAGGACATAATCCACACCCTGAAGGTCTAAAACCATCAATTCCTTCTTTGTGTGCACATACGTGTAATGCACCAAACATTCTGCCTTTTCTATAAGGATTCGATCTTCAGCTAACTCTGGTTTTCTGATCTGACCTGTGTTGTTTATATACTTCTGGAATTTACCAGGTATGAATTCCTCAACAGTGACAGGGTTGCCTTCAATGGTGGAGAAGTAACTCTTCTAATATTTAAAAAATGAACCAAATCCTACAGAAATCTTTTTATTGAAACTTGTGGTAATACTCCTTGCAACAGCATGCATCTAGTCTTGCTTTTGTGTGTGTTGTGCAATGGTGATATTGAAAGCTTCTGATACTTTTGCTAGATGTTCCTCTTTGGTGACTTTGATGACCCACTTTTTCTTGGCTCCACAATTCACCGAAGTGGCAAGAAATGCATGTCTGAATTCCCCCTCAGGAAAGGTGAGTCTTCCTTACAGACCGCAATAGAGCCAGATGGATTCCACATCGTTTCAGCAACATCATAAGCACTCAGATCTAGTTTCATTCGTGTGACACTGGGTGGCTGGATAAATTTTCTTGCATCTAGAAGGTCTGCTATTGATCCTGATTTTGGAAATGCTGAAGAAGGGACTGGTGCCAGATGGCTTACCTTTCCTTCAGGCTGCATTGTTGATCTGTGTGGCACACTTCTAGAGTGGGACAAGGTAGAAATACTATGTTCCCAACTTGGTGAACAACTTATTTGGCTATCTAATGCAACATCTCTTCCAAAGCTATGAACCCTTTTTGCTCTGGTATCGACAGCCATAGCAAAGTTTTGGAAGAAATGTTGCAAGATAAAACTTCTTTCCTGCTACAACACAGGACCCTCCAGGCATTTCATAGAACTTTTGGCAGGCATCCTTCACATTATCAATCGACAGCTCATCATATTTTGTAAAGTCAACAAAATGGCGCCTGTCAAGTGCCTCGTATTTCTTGGACCTGTTTGGCTCGGAGCTCATTCTCTGTACCATGATATTTTGTGGGGATGGGCCTTTTTTTGGTGGCCATGTCTCCTCATCTCTTTTTTGAAATTTGGTAGAGGATGCCAATCAATCGAACAATCAAACATTAACTGAACAGATACATCCATTATTATAAAAGCAAAGAGAGCAATTGCCTGAAATATTATGTTTGGTAACACCAATAACAAAATATATTTATGGGGAAGAAATTAAGACTTTTATTGAGAAAAATGTAGAAGTCTTACATAAACAAGATTTATATCAAAATACTGCTTTGCATAGAATAATATTTATCTAAATGAAGTTGATGTTCGAACTTTGATAAAACATGTATAATTATTAGGTTTTATGATAGATAATGGTGCAAATGTCAGTTCTATAAATACAAGTGGTGAAACCATTAATGATTGCGACAAGATTGAGTAAAACGAGAACAATGCGCCATTTATTAGTGATAAAGGTGATACAGTGTTACATATAGCAATAATGAAAGCTCATGTTAGATCTTTGGCGTTGCTGCATAGTTATGCAGATATTTCAGATGAAAGTAAAATTAATAATTGTGGTTTTACTGCTTTGGAAATCATTATGAAAAGTTTGGTGTAAATGAAGGATAAGTCAGTGAAAGAAACGATAATGAATATATTAAGCACACCTTTGGAAACATTTTTAGATCATGAAGTTTTCAAAACAGACAAGAGTTTATTAGAAGATTTCCAGAATAAATTTTTTTTTCAAATCGAAAAAATTACATAATCTCAAATATTTATAAAACTAACAAGTAACTTTAAAAAATATTTTCAAATGTTCATAAAAATGCAGTCTCAATTATTTTCTCCTTCTTGATTTTTTCCTTTCTCCGTCATAATTCTCTAATTTCCTTAGTATATTCCTCTATGTCATACTTAAAACGTTCATACACTAATGCAGATGTCTTATTCCCAAATATTACACCAAATTTTACGCTGTTAGGAATATTCCTTAAAGTATCTTGTTGAGCTAAATACATGCTTAATAAATGAGAAATTATAAATGAATACAAAATCGTCAAGTTGAAAGCTTAAATAAAAGTCAGAATTAACCGATAGAATAGCTTCCCGTTGAATGTTCATATCAGTGGCAACAGTATCTACAAATTCTGTCATATTTTTTATCAAATTTTTTATAACGATAGAATCATTGCCTAAAGGTGTGTATATTTGCTTTACTTCTTCAAGTAATTCTTCATTTTGCTCAATATATTTTGCTTCATTTTGCTCGAATTTAGTTATAGAGAAGTTACCGTATGTAAGGATTTTAAAATGATATCAAAATGTCAATTTGATATCAAAAGTAAATTGACATCAAATGTAAATAGATATCAAAGTAAGAATAAGAATGAATCGAATGGTTCCAAGTGCTGGACAGTCTCTTTTACGATGAGGAAGCGAATAAAAGCTTCAGAAATATGGCTTCTTAGACAAATGTTAAGAAACTTTTGGACAAGACATGTCAGCTATGAGGAAATATTCTAGATAACAAAAACACAAGATCTTTGTGGAAAGACATCAGAGAAAGACAAGACAAATTTATTGGTCATGTGATACGGAAAGAAGAGCTGGAACAAATTGTAATGACAGAAAAAATTCAAGGCAAGAAAGCGAAAGGAAGGCAGAGACAAATAATGTTACCATCCATGGCAGAAGATTATATAATGACGTTTTGCGGCTGGCTTGGCTATAAACAGGACATGTAGCCTGACAATCTAACATTCAAGCTAATGTTTGCTTTCTCAACAGATTCTTGTAGTAGGGAGTCACATGACTGATGACGTCATTTAAGGGTAAAATTCAGACAAATTCATCGCTAGCTCTTTACTGGATTGTTATTTTTGACGCAAATTACATATTTTGACTCATCTTGTTGCAAGCTTTTAATTGATGTATCCAAGATGCCCTCACGCTGTTACGAGAGCTGTTACGAGAGACGGGGGAGGTCAGAAGTAAAACTTGTTTGTTGAGACAGGAAATTCTACAATGGCGGCGTGTAATGATTTCATCTCAGTTGCCGGTGTCATATGCGTTTCGGTAACCTTATGCATTTCGGTCCGGGTACTCAAACGCATGGCAATTTTGGTTATGCAAAATCGTACCCGAGCACTTAAACAATAGGGTACCAAAACGAATGGTGGAATTTAACATGCAAAACGGTCCGGGTACACAAATACATGGCAATTTTGGTTATGCAAAATCGTACCCGAGCACTTAAACAATAGGTACCAAAACAAATGGTGGAATTTAGCATGCAAAACGGTCCGGGTACACAAACGCATGGCAATTTTAGTTATGCAAAATCGTACCCGAGCACTTAAACAATAGGGTACCAAAACAAATGGTGGAATTTAGCATGCAAAACGGTCCGGGTACACAAATGCATGGCAATTTTGGTTATGCAAAATCCTACCCGAGCACTTAAACAATAGGGTACCAAAACAAATGGTGGAATTTAGCATGCGACCTGGTCTGGGAACACAAATGTTCTGATTCATAATGTTCAGAATGTAAAGAACAATCGAACTATTTCTAACAAGGGGGTACTAACAAGAAACGGTGCTGTGATTTCCCTTGTTAAGTTTATGCAAAAAAGTACCACATTAGTGGCGACTCCAAAGTTTTCTTGATTAAAAAGTATGAAATTTTAAACAAAAAAGTATTGTGTTCAATTTGTTAATTATAATGTGTCATAATATCGCACTACGGTGAAATCACTTGATTTGAAACACATTGCGTTTCACAATGTTACACTTTTGCATAGGGTACCAAAACGCATATGACACCGGCAACAGACTTGACCATGAAAATCTTGAGGTTTTTCAGCGCAATGCAGTTCTGAAAGGGCAAGATGTATTTGTATCAGCACCTACTGGATCAGGAAAGTCTCTCATTTTCCAGGTGCTCCCGTTCGCCGTTCAGGAACAGCAGATGAAGGAACGGCCTACACAAACCGAGAGCGTTGATCATTTTGTGCTGGTAGTCTCTCCCCTGATTTCATTAATGCGGCACCAAGTAAGAAGATTAACAGAGAAAGAAATTTGCAGCCTATCCCTTTCCGATTCAGATGTGACCTAAAAACAAATCATGAATGGAAATTTTATTTGGATCCACAGAAAATATCCTATCGAACAAATTTCGAAGTGTTTTAAAGTCGCCTGAATTTCAAAGAAGATTATCTTGTGTTGTAATCGATTAAAGTCATTGTATAGTTAAATGGTAGGTGATATTTTTATCATAGTACCAGTACTAAACGAACTTGAGGTTATAATTTGTCGAACCTTCAATGCTCTCCTTTTTTGTGTCTCTTGGGAATGGGATGTGTCGTATTTTGTTATGTAATCATGAACATTTCGATAGATGGTTTTCAATTTTGAATTCAACTAAAGATACACAGTTTCTTGTAAGTGAATAAAGCTATTATTAATTTAAATAAACTTCACCTGCTTTCTGTGTCATATTAATTGCCAGAAACCGCATGAAATGTGCTGGTGGTAAATACATAGGTGTTATAAAACTGGTTAAAAATCTCATAAGAAATTCTGACATCTTATATTAATTGTTGTAAGCTTTCAGTTATGACTCAAATCAAAGATACTTATAAAAAGGCTTTAATAGGGTAACTTCATTGAACAATCTATGTCAAGTGTAATAAAATTACAACGCTTGTAACATTTAATTCCGTGTCTTATATGAAAAATGAACCCTTCTCAGCAAGCATTATTTTTTTGTACAGGGGGACTCAAAGTCAAAATATGAGAAGATTTCGTCATATGTACGGACAACTAGCTGAGATACGCTCTATATGGATGGTAGATCATAAAATTCTGTATGTTCCAATGACAGCTACAGCTACAAAGGCAACCACTGCTTCTATAATAAAAAATCTTGAATTGAGGAACCCACTACAAATAATTCAGTCACCTCACATTCATTATTCTATGATAACATTGAAGCATGACAACATAGAAGAAATATTCAAACCACTTATTGAAGATTTGAAAGCCAACACATATAGTACAGAAAGAACTATCATTGTTTGTTAATGGCTGAATACTGCTCGTTCATTGTACAGATTGTTTGATAGTCAGTTAAAAGATCATTTTCAAGACAACAAACCATACAAAAAATACCAAGGAAACACAGAGGATGCGGCAAAAGAATATATTTCTAAGTCATTTGCAGATTCTAATGGGTCAGTGATTACTTATTGCCACAATCGCTTTTGGCATGGGCGTTGACTGTAAAGGTTTGAGACAGGTCATACACTATGGTCCTCCTTCTGACCTTGATAACTATTGCCAAGAAAGTGGAAGGGCTAGATGGGGAGCAAAGCTATGCCTTGCTGATAATTTATCCTGGAAAAATGTGGAAAAATGTAGACAAGAACTTATTTACAGAAAATTTCTGGTCATTACAAACAAGTTTTGCCACTTCA